AAAGAATGTTCATGTCATCTGGTTGTTCGTTTGTACCTTCTTTCTTTTTTTGGAATATTTATTATGCCAGGTGCTGTGCTAGCATTGCGGATACTGTGGTGATTTGAACAGTCCCTGCCCTCAGGGACACTGGAGTGTGAATGGGTGGGGGACAATAATAAGCCAACATACTGAGTTCTATTAGTTGAGTCTATGGAACCACAAGGTGATGAGTGACTAAGTTGGCCTCCTTCAGTGTTAATGATGGAAACTGAGGCACTCAGGGGCTACAAGTACCACATAGTCCTGGGTTACTCAAATAGAGACAGAATCCTAACTACTCCTTTCCTTTTGCCTCAGAGAGTGTTAAGACATTGGCTAAGACAAAGCGTATGATTTTTTGTGTGACCTTCATGTTCAGTGGCATTTTATGAATCATGAGAGTTAGTTAAAACTAACCCTTTTATTTAACAGCTCTTAAATCACCCACAAGTGGGTGAGATGCTTGCATTATGAGGGATCCACAGGAATTAAGATGGAGCAGCAGATTCCTGGGTCCTATGTCATATCCTTTGTTCATACGTTCCGTGAATAGAGTTGGTGTCAGAAGCACCTGTATTTGACTCCCTCACCCCCTTCTGTTCTCAGCTCTTAAGTTAAAATGTGGATTGGTCAAATATACATATGATGTCATTCCGTTGTACTCATGTTGCTCTTTTTAGAGTGCCAGTGGGTAGTTGTAAAATAATGATCCATTTAGGAAGTGTGGCTGTTGGGCAGTTAGCAGGTCCCTGTTAACAGTTCTTTTTGGAGTTTATTATGGTGTGGCTAGGAAGAGTTTCAGAAAAAGAGGAACTTCTACAAAAGTGTTAATGATGGAAACTGAGGCACGTAGGGGCTACATGATATACAGTAGATTTTCAGCGACAAGAGTCCCCTTCTCTCTTTCCTTTTTGGCATTCATTTAGGTCTGGGATTGTTCCCTTGAACCAAACTTCCCAAAAAAATACGAAAATTATTGAACCTGCGAATATAAGTGTAGGTTTATATAAGTATTAGAAATAGAGGGGTTTGTTACAAATATAAATTTTTTATTTAGTCATCTAAAGATCCTTTGTAACTTTATTTCCCAAAGGGAACCATTAGGAGAGCACCTTCATTTCTTCACCATCCCATTATCAGTAGGTATTTGGGCACTACAAGGCACATACCACTGTCTAGAGATAATGGACTTGAAAACAAATGAACATCTGGTCATGGTTTTATAGATGACAGAGCACCTTCACTCATTATCTTCACATCTTTACGACAATCCTGTCAGATAGAGTCCCTCCACTCCTTAATGATTTTCCTGTGTTGGGATTGTATTTATTATCTCCATTTTACAAATAAAATCTGAGATTCTGAGAGATTAACTACTTCATTCTGGACTGCATGGCTAGTGTGTGAGCCAGGTTTGGAGTATAGATCAGTTTGAGCCTGAATATCATGCCCTACCTCCCTCCCCCCCCGCCCCCCCGCCACTTCTTTGTTTACTGAATTGTGTGAAAGTTAACTCCCTTGCTCAACGGAGGGATGAGGAGGTGGACATCAGTTCTACAGATACATAATTCACTTGATTAGATCTTATTATTTGTAATAAGCAGGTGCTTCTTGCTATGTATGTGGAAACCAGATAGATTGGGTGGGACTTAACCAATGCCACACATTTTTAGGACACTCCTAGTGTGTGGCTGATACTCTGAGCCACTAGATACAAGGACAGTTTCCAGGATGAGGTGGATTTTGAGCTGGTCTGGAAGGGACTTGAGGGATAGAATGCCAGAATGGTTATTTCAGTATCCAGTACGGGGAGCTTTTCTCAGCCAGCCCCAGTCTTGTGATTGGAAACTCTCTGCCCATACAGGGCCTCATCTTACAATTGGGTTGTAAAACCAAGGGCCTGTATAACTCTGTGGATTATGTATCTGGTAGCTTCTGGGGTTTGTGTCCTGGCCCTTGTCCAGAGTAGGTAATTCCATCTTGCTGAGTTCCAGTTGACCAAATTGCAAGGGCCTGGACACAGAGTTCTTCCCTTTGCAGTAAATGAATAAAAACATGTGAGGATTTAGAACAGTGCCTGTGCTTACTAAGTGGGTGGATCAATTAATGCTAATACTGCATTCCCCAAACATCCAAGGGCTTGTGACTCCCAGCTTTAGAGGTAACTTCAAGGAATTGTCTACAAGACTCTGCTGTCTGTCTTTAAGGCAACCCACCCCTTTTTGAACAGCTCAACTAGCAGGAACTTTTTTCTCATGTTGAGCTGGAATCATCTTAGAACTTCCACAGAATGGGTCAACACCCTCTCCATGTGATAGCTAGCTCTTCAGAGGATGCTCAGTGTCTAAGAACACTAAGCTTGCAATTATGATTCAAAAAAATCTTACCAGCTTTGAGCCATGTAGGCTAAAATAATGGGATTTATAAATAAACTCCTGTCTTTAGCTCCTAAACCAGTTGCACTAGAAAAGGGAATTCAGGAATAGGAATTGGAGTGTGGGAGCCTAGAGGTTTTGTGGATCCTAGTCAATCTCTGAGCATCATTTATTGAGGGCCATGGACAAACTGGGATGTGTTCATGAGGGCTGAGCCAGGTATTATGTGAATTATGTCTAGTCTGGGACACAGTAGGGCTGCTCCTGTCACATATGCCATGTGCTCCTACCACATATAAATGGGTGTTTGGGTGGGAGATTTGCTTCTGCAAGGGATGGGTTAGTATAGAAGTTAACCTGTACATGGGTCTTAGCCTAGTAGATGGAAGAATTTCAATATGTCAGTGTGGAGGTAGTGGGTTCCTTGTCATTGGTGATGTTCATGTGTAGATTATATGACCAGTTGAGAAGTGTTAGAGAGGGGACTGCAAGCATTGGATTAGGGCAGTGTTGGGGAGTTTGGTCTGAAGAATCTGAGGCTCTCAGTTACATGGTGATGTTCTTTTTAGGCAAGTAAAGTTCCCCAGTCCCTTTACTGGCCCTCACTGTCCTGGATTCTGTCCCTCTACCATAGCGGTTGCATGCTGAGTACATTACTGTTTTTCTTAAAATGTGGCTCTCTGAGCTGCCCAGAGCTCAAAGACTGGCCTTTGTGTGTTTTTTTATGTCTGTTGTTTTGTTTTGGGGGTGGCAGGGTGGGTTGGGGGAGGTTAGGCGGAGAGGTAGACAGCGGATTAGCCACTGCTCAAAGCATTCACTCGTATTCTCATAATTTCTCCAATAAACTGCTTTGGAGCTAGAACAGACTCTAGGGGAGCATACAGCTCAGCTTGAATTTTATAAGACTCTTAGATTTAAAAAAAAAGTAATAATTTTAGAATTCAAAAGGCCCACACTGCAGGCATTGCAGAGTTCATTTGGGGGTTAATCACAAAACCCTTTCTTGTGGCATAATTTATACCTCAACATTTGGCAGTTTTTAAAGTCCGGTGCCAATGTACACGTGTTAGTAAGAAGTAGTAAATATTTTGCTGACAAGTTCTTTGAATGATGGATCTGTGGCAGCATTTAAAGGCAGACAACCTGGGGGTTTCTTTTATCCAGGTGCTGCCAAATCTCAAAAGCTGTCAGGGTACCAAGCCAAAATCACCCACTAGTTATACCATTAATTGTGTAATGTTCTTGTGCCTCAGAGTTTCTGCACCTGGGATCTGTTGATATACACTGGTGGGGGAGGGCAGAGGAAAGGGATACAACGGGGAGGGAGAAAGAAAGAAGACAGGCTGCTCCCTCTCAGGTAACTGCCCTGGAGCACGGAGCAGTCCCTGGTGCCTGGTGGGGCCAGCACCTGCTCCCCTTCTGGCTGCCTCTGTTGTAATGTTGTGTGGACTTGATGGGGGCAGAAGGCAGGGAATGGTAGGCCCACTAAGCTCTCTCTACTGTGACCCTGCCACCTCCCTTCTTCGATCAGTTGCCAGGAACAATTCTCCCCTTTGGGGGGAAGCCTTTGAATTAATGATCTGATGCCTTTTCAACAAAGGAATATTGATATGTTAGTGTGTGGACAGCAGGGGGTACCGGATTAGATCATTTTCACATGGGTGTTTGTGCCAGTTTGACATTCGTGTGGAAAGCTTATCCCTTTAAGACCATAGGTTTCATGCATACTTTAAGGGGAATAAACCTTTGAGAAAGATTTCTTTTGGTTCTGTAACCTTCAGTGCTACAGAGAAAGAAATGAAAGTCTCCCCCACAGTTTTTTTATGATCAGGAATTCCGAGTAGGCTTCCAGATGAAGTGCCCATGTAGGTGTAAACCATTTCTTTCTGTAAATGTGCTGGCCTCTTGTAGCTGTTGCAGGGAAGGCAGGAATGGGGACAACTTGGTCCCTGCTTCAAGGTTACAATCTAGAAGCTGAGAGTGGCAACATGACCTGACTGTTCAGGCTCAATGTCCCGCAGAGAAATGCTAAGGACTGGCAGGTCCAAGTCAGCTGTCATAGTAGAGTGAGTTTTGTGATAACAAAATAATCTCCTTCCTCCTCCTACCCTGCCACCATCTCACATCTGGGTGATCTCAGTGACAAATATTGGGATGATTTAACATTTCAGAGTTACCATGTCGGGCCACAGTGAGGCAGACATCTTTTGTTTTACTTTATTTTCTTTTAAACAAAATTGTTCTGCTATGGAGATTTGATTATTATTGAGCAGAGTGCTCCTGGTAGATAGGAGGCACTTAGTAAATGGTTTTGCATGGTTCGCTGTGAACTTGGAACTCAGAGTGAGTACTATTCTTGGATGAAAACTTTCTCTAATCTGCGAAGATTATACAGCTGTTGTCCACCATTACATTTCTGTATTGAGTGCCTAACGTGAATACATAAAGAAAAAAAGCCACTTGGATCTCAAAATTCCATATTCTCCGCTAGCAGTTATTCTCAAGCAGATCTGCCAACTGAAGAATGTGCAATGAAACTAGCAAAGAGCAGTATATTGGTGGTTACCTCATCCTTATCACACTATATTTTCATTTCTTTATTAGGTTTATTTTCTTGAAAAGGCTCCAGGCTTCGGCTTGGAAAACCCAACCGCCAAAATTGAGCCCAGCAGCTGGAGCGGCAGCGAGAGCCCTGCCGAAAACATGGAAAGGATGAGTGACTCCGCAGATAAGCCAATTGACAACGATGCGGAAGGGGTCTGGAGTCCTGACATTGAGCAGAGCTTTCAGGAAGCCTTGGCTATCTATCCACCCTGTGGGAGGAGGAAAATCATCTTATCAGACGAAGGCAAGATGTATGGTAAGTGGTCTGGAATGCCTCTCTGAAACGCTGCGACCTGCTTTTGTATTGAAGGGTCATTGTAGCTAGCCTTCTACTTAGATCTGTTCATTATGTTGTGTTGAATGATCTTGGCAGAATTTTAGTTGGCCATCCAAGGGACTAAATCTCAACTTAAGAGGAGAATCAGTAAAGGACAGTTGGGAAATCATTCCCTGGGGGTTTCTTCTCCCTCTCCATGCTCAGTGACATTATATCAAAAGCTCTCTAGGTCCAGGTGGAACATAGATGGATGCAATGGCATTTGAGACACCAGGGTGGGGACTTGTTCTTCAGAACGCATACCTAATGGAAGAAAGTGCAGCCGCTTACCTCCAGATAACTGAAACAGGGGCCTGCTGATGCCATATAGCTTAATTTTTTTTTTCCAGGAAGAGCTAGCAATCTAGATGTTTATATAGGAAAACTCATTTTGAAAAGTCAGCACTCTTTTCTTTTTAACATAACCCTGTATAGACTAGATAAAATATGGGTATGGCTTAATCAGATCCTTGAACCACCTGTTTGCAGCTTCATTGCTGGTTTGCAGTTGAATGGCAGACAGGGCATTAACCCCTCTCCCCAGGCTATTCTCACCCATCTCCCCTTCTAGAAGGGATGCCAGGCAGTGTGTTCTGAAGGAAACCTCATGAGTGTCCAAGAGGACAAGACTGGTTGACCAGATGGCTTAGGATACCAAACTCTGGAGCTGGCCTGCTAGGGTTGGGCATTCCCCAGTCCTTCTGTTAATGCTTTTTTGGCTGCTTACCTTTTGGGAAGCAGATGGCAGGTGGTTGCTTGTATATTCTGCTTGTCTAATTGAGCACATTGAGTTGACAGAGTTTGCACTATAGCTGAGTCTAAAGAGATGCAAACAACCTAAACTCAAAGAGAACTGGCTTAGCAACCTACCTGAGGTTAACTTATCACAAGAGTGATTTATTTCTAAATAATTTGAAAGCTTTTCATAATAGGCTGTTGTACCTTTAATACTGTGCCTCCTCTATCAGGAGCCGTAGGAGGCTGCAACTCAAACTAGCACACACTGCTAAGGAGAAAGCAGATGGTGGTGCAGCTGCCACCAGCTGTGCCCCCACTCCGCCCTCCCTGTCTCCAACTTGGATGATGTAATGGAAACGAGGAAAATTTTGCTTTCTGCAACATTAGAGTCTCTAAGCCTGTTGTTCTCTCTCTCTCTCTCTCTCTCTCTCTCTCACACACACACACAAGGGTGGAGGGTAGAAATGGGAGAGAGAACCCAAACCTTCAGAATTTGTTTTATGCTCTCATGTAATCCTTTGTAGCCAGAGAAGCTTCATTGGGTCTGCTGAAATGGACCCAGGGTGAAACATCACAGCTGCTGTGGGTAGAAAGTTTCAGGGCCTTTGATTTTCTGTGTGTTTGTATCTTTCCTGATCTATTCGTCCTAGGCCTGGCTGTTTGTTTTCAGGGTCTTATCTTCATACCTAAAAATGAAACCTCCCCATTTTAAAGGCAGAGAAAAGCACTTTAATCTTCAAGCCTTCTTTGAAACTGATTTTATTATGGGTAGTGAAGGTGGTTTCAGACTACTTTACCTTATACAACTCCCATTTGTTTATCCAGAAATTGCTGTAACCTAAAATATTGGCCTACTATTGGAAATCCTGGTGGAGAATAACGACAGCCCTTTATTTGTCACAGGAAATACTGGGAAAGGCACTGTCCCTTTAGGTTTCAGGACTGAGGACATAATTCAAAGCAAAAGTTTATCTTTTCAACTTCAGTTTTGTTTTCTCCATTTGAGTGTATTTTTTTAGGTACCAGCCATGGTAGATTTAACCATTCTGCTGATAACCTCATCATAATTACACTGTTTTGTGAAAATAATGGTGTAAGAGCGCTCGTTGGTAATTGGATGTCAGGGGCAGCTGGTTAGGAAATAGAATGGTGAGAAGTTTTAGATTTGAGTGATCTACTGACAGTGAATTCAAACAAGCCTACCTTTGGTCTGCATCTCAGTTTTTCTCCCCTGTAAAAAAAAAAAAGGGTAGAGTAGATGATGTCCATGGGTCCTTGGGACTTTGCCATTTTGTGATGCTGTGATTTTGTGACTTGTACCGCAGTCAGTTCATTGACCAACATGGTGCTAGTTGTGGGAGCACATCTTTAATACCCATGGTCGTCAGATTCTGAGGGCTTCTTGAGAGCACATGCTCTGTATGGATAGTCCCCCCCCCATTGCCCCCCCCCCCCCACACACACACACACAGATACACACAAATCAGCCTTACATTTATTGACTGTGTTGGTGACCAACCTGACTTAAAAATGGGTCATCTTTTTGAGTGAGCAGCATTAGGGTTGTGTGTCCTGATATGGGGGTGCAGGAGATGCATTTGCTGCGGTGGTCCTGAAGTCACTGCACTCCATTCATCTGCCTTGGAGAGAAAACATCCCCCTGAACTTTGCTTCTACTGCTACTTCAGAAGGAAATAGCCATGGGAGATGGAACCTGGACCCCTTAAGAGGGGCTGCCCCAAGTGCCCTGGAGCTGCCTGTGACCTGCTTGTGACTTTGAGGACGAGTAAAGGTTGAGTTGGGAGCCTCCACAGTGAGGCCCCAGCCACTTGGGGATTGAGTCATGTGAGCACTGTGGGCCAGAGCTACTGTTCCTTGGCTTGTGGCCTGTTCCCCATCGTACCATAAGTGAATCAGGACACAAACCAGACCAGGAGTCGAGGTTTCTTAAGGTCCAGAGCGCATACTTTCTCTCTTAAGCATTTTGTAAATGAAAACATTGAAAGCATTTTGGATTCCATGGAGTAAAATCAAAATAATTTAATGCCTTTTAGTGGAATACCAAGTGTTTTTGACTTGAGGGGGTTATTCTGATATTTCTGAGCATTTGTAGAGTGCATTGTGATGTCACTAATCCTGAGCCATGGGAAAAGCAAGGTCAAGTGCAGCACTGATTTATTTTGGTAATGAAATTTCCTCTTTGGTTGGCAGTAGGGCAAATGCAATCTTATAGACAGAAAGAACCGAAAGCTCTCTTTATGATGAGGTTTGGGCCATCAAAAGGCTGACTTCCTTCTCTGCTCCCTTGTCTGTGGGGAAGCTGAGTCTTTATATGGTTGGTCCCCATGTGGACAGATTACTTCTGTCTTGGGCACACTATGTGTAGACAGGGGTAATTAGGGATAATTAAGAAGAGGATGCATACTCATTCTCTCTTTTTCTCTGTGTTTTCCTTTCTGGTTGTACTTCTTTTAATTTTTATTGAATTTATTGGGGCGACATCTATATATATAAAGAAGTAATGTGCATATTAGGCCAGGACGCCGTAACGGTCACGATCAGCTCAGGAGGAGGGGCCAGGCACGGCCCAGAGTCTGAGAGAACTACACACAGGGGAGCAGCGTGGCCCCCAGCAGCCCCAGAGCAGAGGCAGGGGGTTGTGTCCAAGCCACCGCCGCCACCGCTGCCCGGCTCCAGCAGCTCCGGAGCGGGTTGTGTCCAAGCCGCCACCGCTGCCCGGCTCCAGCAGCCCCAGATCTGCCCGCAGAGGGAGGCCAGACTGCGGCTTAGGCCCGCTCCCCACGGGAGCCGTCAGTAGGACATCCCCTGAGGGCTCCCAGACTATGAGAGGGGGCAGGCTGGGCTGAGGGACCCCCTCCCCTCCTCCACTGGGCTTCTAGTTGGTTAATAAAATTATATAGGTTTCAAGTGTACAATTCTGTAACACATCATCTATAAATTGTATTGTGTGTTCACTACCCCAAGTGAAGTCTCCTTCTGTCACCATTTATCTCCCCCTTTACCTTTCTATTTTGTCCCACCCCCCTTTTCCTCTGGTAATCACCATACTTGTCTGTGTCTATAAGGGTTTTTTTTTTTTGTTTCATTTTGTTTTGGTTTGTTGTTTTTTTTGCTTAATCCCTTCACCTTTTTCACCCAGCACCCCCAACCCTCTCCACTCTGACAGCTGTCAGCCTAGTCTCTGTATCTATGAGTCTATTTTGTTTGTTTATTAATTTTGTTCATTAGATTCCACATATAAGTGAAATCATATGGTATTTATCTTTCTCTGACTGGTTTATTTCATTTAGCATAACACTCTCCAAATCCATCCATGCTGTCACAGAAGATAAAGATTTCCTTTTTTATGGCTGGGTAGTATTCCATTGTGCAAATTACCACAGCTTTTTTTTTTTTTTTTAACATGCCTTTATTGATTTTTAGAGAAAGAGGAAGGGAGAGGAATAGAGAAATAGAAACATCAATGAGAGAGAAACATCATCAAGTGGCTGCCTCCTACATGCCCTCCACTGGGGATCAGGCACACAACTCAGGCATGTGTTCTGACTTGGAATTGAATTGGTGACCTCTTGGTTCATGGGTCAATGCTCAACCACTGAGCCACACCGGCGGGGCTACCACAACTTTTTTATCCACTCATCTACTGATGGACACTTGGACTAGTTCTAAATTTTGGCTATTGTAAATAATGCTGCAGTAAACATAGGGGTGCGTATATCTTTTGAATTAGTGTTTCAGGTTACTTCAGATATATTTCCAGAAGTGGGATCCCTGGGTCATAAGGCAGTTCCATTTTTAATTTTTTTAGGAACCTCCATACTGTTTCCCACAGTGGCTGCATCAGGAATGCCTGAGTGTGTGTCTGTGGCAACTAAAAACCCTGGTCTAGTTATGTAGTCACATATCTCCCATCATCAAACCACGGTAGGGACAGGAGATAACGTTCATTGATTGCTTGCTTTAGAGAAGGAAAAGTGTAGCACTTCAAATCTTGGACTTTGAAATTGATATGAATCCTGGCCCTGCCATTTGTTGATATCAGATGTTGGGCAAGTTGCTTTTCTTTTGTGTGCCTCCATTTCCTCCATTGCAAAAGGGATTTAAATAGAGCCTGTTTCAGTGGATCAATATAAGAATTAAAACTAATTGTGATCTAGGACCTCCCCTACCACATTTGAGCA